CTGAACCGGAACTAAAAAAACCCAACCAAATAAAACAAAAACCTAAAATTTCCCCCAATCTCCGTCGTGCCCTAAAATCAATTTATCTGCATACTCATCATCATCTGCTGCAAAAACCCAGATCGAGAAACAAAGTATTCATCAGAAATTTCTCAAAGCGATATATGCGAAGTTGAAGAAGGCAAAAGATGAAAGAATTCCAAAGACACATCTCGGTTCTTGATCTCTCTTCAATCGAGTTAATCGCTTTCTTTAAGACTGCTTAATTTCTGCATTTCTGGCGAACTCGTTGTGGACCAACCTGATCGACTTGCCGGACATGGCTGGCCAATTAACCAGGACAGCGACCACGGAGCCAGGGACGACCCAGGGGCCGTCGAAGTCGTCAACCGGCGACAGAGTCCGAGCTCCGGGGTCCAATAACATGTCAAAACAGCCCGTCTTCGTGAGGAGGGATAGCCCAACACGCCCTTTGAAGCAACGTCGTGGAGACCCCCAGCCGCAGCGACGTTGTTGACGTCATCACCAACTTCTCCCAACGGCGGCAACGCGACGTTTGCGTTCTAATCGGCATCGGCTTCGTCGCTAACGTCACCCTCCATCATCCCACCGCCCCCGGAGGCGTCGTCGTCTTCCACGGCCTCTTCGACATCCTATCCCTCTCCATATCCACGAAGAAAAGAATAAAAGAACGAAAGCCATGGGTCGTGTTACTTTGTTTCTCGATCTGATTCTGGGTTTTTGCTGGAAGATCATGCACCAGATGATGATGATATGGATGGAGATTGGGGAAAATTTTAGGGATTTTTAGGTTTTTTTATCGGTTTAGTTTTTGAATTCCGGTTTAACAATAACTTCAATTTACTTAAATTAGTTATTAACGCGGAATCCAACCCTAGGTGGTTTCGACGTGGTAATTTATTTTTAAATTGAAAAGCCACGTAAGCCAAATTAAAGCAGTTAACTATTTGGCCATAAATTAAGGTATTTATTTGGTAATTTTAAAATCGATAAATTTATATGATAGGTTTTGACAAATTAAAGTATTTTAAATGGAATTTTTCCGTGGAAGTTTCATATGCCATCATATATTTATATAAGATTATATTGGATTAGTTTCAATAATTATATGTGACAACACTTTAAACGATTGGGACTTATACTGCGTATTATTTTATTTAGGAAAATTTTGAAATCTAATAAAGAACTGGGGGCCTTAATTATCATTTCGGATAAATTGTGGGTTTAATGTATATAGACCGTTTGTTATTTCAATTTCTTATGGGCTGAATTGAAAATATAGGGAAAATATTTTTCTATAGACGAAAGGATGATTAAGTTAATTACCAAGATCAATTTTTATTATCCAATTAAGTGAAAATATTTTTACGTTCGTCTTTTGATATAGGAAATCACATTCCAACCGTTCTTCACACGTTACAGATTTCATTACTAAAATGGATTTAACATGTTAGATTTACAGTTTGTTTTTGCAAATTTAATTAGTCGCCGTATTAATTGTTCAAAATAATTTGACACAATCCCTAGAAATAACTACGTACGTTATTCTTGTCATGTATATTAGGCAGGTGATTTTTTTTTTTTGATATACAGGTGAAGTTTCATACCTACAGCATCTTATTGACATCACGAAACTGTGATATAAAAGTTCATATTTTTTTAGGATTTCTAAAAACTGTATTAATATGGAAGTTGAAAACAATTTCTTATATGAGATTTTCTTTAAATTTTATGGTTTATAAATAATTTCCCCTTATATTATATAAAGTTATAAACCCATATTTATCAACAAAAAAAAAAGTTATAAACCCATATATAATATCTTGGCTATAGTGTGAAACCCTTTACCCGGATTCCATGGTTTAATTATTGCACCCAAACGTTACAACAGTCCAAAAGGTTTAGAAGGCGACGGAATCCGTTGAAACACGTGTACAAAATCAACACTCAAAACATAGGTTAATCGAGTGGAACGGGGTCGAAGAGCAAAGAATGGGCACGGTCAACGGTCAACGCGATATCAGGGCAACCATGGCCGTCGCCGTATTGGTACATGCACTGCGCCATTCGTCCCAGATCAAGCGCTACTCCGAAGAACCGGCTATCGACTGAAGAACCACGTGCCGTTATGTTATAGTTCATTTCGTCCCATGCATCGCTGATCACTCCCGTGGTCATGTGCTCACGTGCCTCCTCCTCCGAAGCTCCCGTCTCATGCATGTAACACTGCATGGATTTCAGTACGTCCCCTCTCGCCAGCTCATCCTACGCACACGTTTTCATGCATAGTCTAATGATTCGATTTCGGTTCGAAATGCGCTGAGACATTAGTTCAAAAGATGAGATACAGTTAGAGAAGCTAACCGGCGAAGTGCCCAAATCATTGGCGACACGAAGGACGACGGAGGAGGATCGGACAATGGGGTCACTGTTTTCGGAGATAGTGTCAAAGGTTTCCTTGGAGATCCGGTCGGACAATATACAGTAAGTGTGAGTCAATATAACAGGCGCACTGATTGAGATCCATGCGTTTTCAATGTACTCTTCGAAACGAGGTTTGTATCCACTCTTATGCCACTTTGCTTCTTTTAGATATGAATCCGCCAAGTCTGCCCACTGTGATTAGAAATTATTAGAGATCATAACAATTATTAGAATGGTATTATAATTCCATATCTGTTTCCTAACTATATTATACCGGTTTTTATGAGTATACGATTTCTTATAGGGGAAATAACATTTATATATCTAAACTTTTACTAAAATTCTAAATAAATATTTGAACTATAAAACTTTCATATGAATATATAAAATTTTAAAATCCTATATGTCGATTATTTTTATTCGAGAAATACCTTAATTTTGGAGTTTATTTGAATTTTTTTTTAAATCTAGGTATTTATATAGGGTTTTTGAAAAGTTGAAATATTTATATATAAACTTTATAGTTTAGGTATTTATTTGAGATTTTTGTAAAAGTTTAGTATTTATATATGATTTTCACTTTTTATTGTAGAAAACTACAAAATATATTCATTAATTGTCGAAGAATTTCCAACTAAATTATGAGAAACCCTAGGACTAATACACTTACGGCTTTCTTCAGGTAAGGGATGACATTAAACTTTTTATCTCTAAGAATGTCGTGTCCGATCTGATTGGTCTCGTTGTACAGCACCAGAAAACACGACCTCATATACTCTGGAAGTTCGTCGAGAAGATTCACGTCCCACCTGCATATCAACACGCATTGATACCGGCAAATGAAATAAATAAAATGTATATGATAATTTCAAAAACGAAAAAACACCTACTTTCGAATGATCTCGGTGAATTGCTGAAGTTCTTCGATGGTTCCGTAAATATCGTAGATATCGTCAATGGTTGTAACTAACGCATTGACAATGGTATGCTTTTGCCGATGGTACGCAAATTCAGGCTCATGGAATAATTCTACGGTCCAGAAATAATTCTCAAGTATTCTATCTCTCGCAAAATGAAGTTTTTTCAGTCCTGTGTTGCTCCACCACCTTCACAACACAAATGCACGAGTTCGTTTTGGTGATAAGAGTACATTTTCTGTAACACCAAACATGAATATTACCAAATAAATAAAGCAATTAGCTGAATTGATATATATATATATATATATATACAAAGCGTGGAAAATTTTACCTGGAAACGTCTTTGAGATCTTCTTGGTAAGAAGCCTGTGTGATGTTGAAATCAAGCTTGGCGAATTCTAGCAGAAGAGGGTTCATGTCCTTTGTCTTTCCGTAGACATCTATGTACCATCTTGCTTCTAACCTCGATGTTCTCCAATGGTACGGCATCTCCAATGATCGCACCATCATCTCATGAATATATGATTCATTCTCATCATTTTTTCCACTTTCGATCATAAAATCCCGTAGTCTCTTCGTCGAATAAGACCGAATCTCCTTCAGTTTGGTGTCTGATTTTGTCGATAAATACGAAGCTTCGTACAGAGAGAGCAGGCCTTTGACACTATCATCTAAATCCTCTATAAATGTCTCATATTCCTTCTCGTTCTTGATGACATCGAAAACATCTACATAATTAGTTACAACTTATTACTTATTCTTGATACCAATGATGATATAGTCACAGATCTAAAAAAAAAATATAATGAAACTGTTGGGAATTTAGTTACAATTATGTTTTTTAGTCATATAGAATAATACTATGTAACAAGTATTTTATGCGATTGATTAATTACCTTGTGAGACGGTAAAGCCATGTTGTCTAAGAAGACGAAATTCGAGGGCAATGGCATGTAAATCTTCAGTTTTCGGAGTCCTTGTGTCGTTTTCTTGTCTTCCGGTGTATATTTTCTGTAAGATACTTTTGATTTCGCGACCAAAATGATGCGAAAGTCCGAGCCTTTGCAGAGTGTCGATGAGCTCGAGCTGTTTGAGAGAACCTTCGGTTCCATCCAGCATGTTCCTCACGTGTTCCTCCAACAACTTGGCTCTATCTTGGAATTGACTCTGTTTCTACATTCCATTACTGTTATGATCAACGTGTTTGCGTGCGTGTATATATAACGACGTTTATGAGATTTACTTACGGCGTATTTGTTCTCGAGAGAGTGGATATAGTTCTCGTCCCATACAGAAGGCCGATAGTTTCCGGACCGACGCACGACGACAGCCTCCGCCGACGTCGTTTTACCGGCGACGTGGCAAGCCAAACGCGGAGGAGTACGTCGACGCCGATTCTGCATGCTTCCAAGAGGGGCATTTCCGTAAATAAGAGGCCCACCAAGTCCAAGAGAGGCCATTTTTTTTTTTTTTTACGTGAACGATATATATAAATGATATTCCGTGGGGAATGCGATTGCATTTATAGGCGAAGTTCTAAATCTCAGTAACTCCACGCGTTAAAGAAAGTAAGGTAACATGGAAAAGAATGTGCGGTGAAAATCTTCACTGGAAGTCTGGAAAAGAGAATTTCGACAACATCACATGTTTTTAGTGCAGTTGCGCCGTTTTATCTGTAATGAATCAATTACATGTAACGTGGCTCATTTTCTGCCACGAAGCGCTAATCTATATTGCTTACATAGTACATAGTACATACACCATGACGAAGACGCGTAACTTTTTTTTTTTTGGGTAATGGGATGTCCTATGTCGGGCTTCATACTTATTTCGAGATCGGAAACAGGTCATGTCAATGAAATTAAGTTCTCTTCCTAAACTTAAAACTCGAATTTAGAACAAGAAAGACACGTTTTGTATCTCCATCTCATCAATTGAGGTATTCAAGTTAGATGTCTAACGTAAAATTTGTATAATTTTCTCGGGTCGTTCTTTCCGGTTTTCATAATTTATTCGGTTAATTAATATGAAAATAAGATTTTGAAAATTTTTCTTACCTTTTTCTTGGACGAATTTGGAATTATATCTTCGTAATGATTAGAAAAGTTAAATGTGGTTCACATATCTACCAGACTCATCGTCTCGAGTTAGTGACCGACGCGTTTCCACCCACACAACAAGCGCATGGAAGTTGAACCGTTTTTTATTGTGATTTTTGATAGTCGTTATAAGTTCCATATATTTATAAGTTGATGTATTTATTCTCTATTAACAAAAAAAACTCAATAAATGATTTCAGGAAAAATGTTTAGCGGATGGATCGCTTGTGTCAACACAATTAATTAGTAGAAACCTGATTGAAAAAGTTAAAGTGTACGCACGAGAATGGTTAAATTTTATGCATTTTCCAATATATATAAGGGAAAATGGCAAAAACCCACACAGATTATAACAAATGTGTAAAATTAGTACATCAATTTTTTATTTGATAAAATCCCCCACCCGATTTCAAAATTTCCCATTTTCTACCACCGATTATTCCTTAAATTTCCAATCAACACAGGGAAGGGATTTGATCGTGCCACATCAGCATCCCATTGTTTATGTGGCATGACACATCCGTAAAAGTGCCACGTCAGGTGACACGTAATCAGTCCTGTCAGCAATTTCGATTAGTTAAATCGGTTCACTTAACCGATCCGGTTTACTGTAAACCGAATTTTTTTTTAAATTGAAATTTGGGACTTAGGTCGAAACCCTAAATCAGAATGCGCATTTCAATTATAACAAATGTGTAAAATTAGTACATCAATTTTTTATTTGACAAAATCCCCCACCCGATTTCAAAATTTCCCATTTTCTACCACCGATTATTCCTTAAATTTCCAATCAACACAGGGAAGGGATTTGATCGTGCCACATCAGCATCCCATTGTTTATGTGGCATGACACATCCGTAAAAGTGCCACGTCAGGTGACACGTAATCAGTCCTGTCAGCAATTTCGATTAGTTAAATCGGTTCACTTAACCGATTCGGTTTACTGTAAACCGAAATTTTTTTTAAATCGAAATTTGGGACTTAGGGTTTCGTTCGAAACCCTAAATCAGAATGCGCATTTCATTTGTCTCCTCTTCACTCCTCTGTCTCCTCTCCTCTCCTCTCGTCGCCTTTCTTCCTGGAGAAAGCGGATATGCTCTCGATGGTCTTTCAGCGACAGGAGGGTGGTAGCCGTAGCTGTAGTACGGGTCTCTAGCATAGGATTCTGGAGCAAGGGTTGGGAGGGGTGGGTTGATCGGGATTTGAGGATGTGGAATAAGGATTTCACGCCGATGATCATGCGAGTAGTAGTCTCTCTGTGGTAAATAGAGTGGATCGAAGTAAAGGGGTTCTCGGTGATTGTACCTTTCTATGTCCGCATGCCTCAAGAGATGGTCACGGTCCAAATTCGGATGGTAAGAATCCGAAGCAACATGATATCCATCCATGGTACAGTACGAATGACCATGATGATAGTGATGATGAAGATTTTGTTGAGGATTGTGAGATTAATGATTCATTATCAGATGAATGTTGGTATAGTGATAATGATATTGGAGAGTTTGATGATTTCGATTTTGATGGTGATGATTTTGTTGAAGAAGTCCCCTGTGGTCCGGTTGGTGATGATGATAGAGATGAGTGGAAGGAGGATAATGGTGATAGCTCGCCTGACGAGTATATAGATAGTGATGGGAATATCCCACCAACCCCGGAAAACACAGATGAAGAATGGGAGAACTTTGATAATCCACCAAGAAGACAAGCTTCAACTTTTCCCCCAAATGATTTTTTATATCTTGGGAGAACTTTCAACTCAGGGGACGAGTTTAAGAAAGCTTTGTTTGACTATGTGTTGGATAAGAAATTTAATGTGAAGTTGTCAAGGTGGGACAAGACGAAATTGGAAGCTATATGTTGCAATGTAGGGTGCCCGTGGAGGGTTTACTGCTCGGTTGAGACCCCCATAAGCAAGTGGATGATCAAGATTTATAAGGATGATCATAACCATGAGAAAGACACTTATGCGAGTATGTTGACAATGCGTCAAATTGCGAGGTTGTATGCAGACAGGATTAGAACAGAGTTAGCCTTCACAGCTGAAAAAATGCAGATTGACATTCAAAGATCGTATGGTTTGACGGTCACTCTTACCAAATGTTTTAAGGCAAGACGTATTGCATTGAAAATGGTGATGGAAGATCCTCAAATCCAGTTTAAGAAGTTGTGGGACTATGAGTTAGAGCTGAATAGGTCAAATCCAAATACCACAACGGAAATCGGATTAGCTAAAGTGTTGAAGCGTCAGGGAGTATTCGACCGTTTCTATGTGAGTTTCGGAGTGCTGCGAGAGTCGTGGAAAGCACACTGTCGTCCCATTATTGGTTTGGATGGCTGTTTTTTGAAATGGGAGATGAAGGGTGAACTACTAGCTGCTGTTGGAAGGGATGGCAATGATGGCATGTTCCCTATTGCTTGGGCAGTTGTACGTATCGAAGATACAGATACATGGACCTGGTTTGTCAAGAAATTACGATTAGATTTGGGATTAGATGATGGAAGGGGGCTAACTATAATGTCCGACAAGCAAAAGGTAATTGATATATGATTCTTTTCTAAAAGTACATATTATTTACTCTTCGAAATATCTCGTAATCTGTTTTATTTGCTTTTGTTTTTTGTAGGGGTTAGTGAATGCAGTCGAAAATGAGCTTCCTCACGCCGAGCACAGGATGTGTACACGACATATATTTGCTAATTTCAAAAAGAAATTCAAGGATCTTGAGTTGAAACTGCTATTCTGGAAGGCTGCAAAATGCTACCTCGTACGTGAGTTCGAAGGATACGCCCTTGACATTAGAAGGTACAATCCATTGGCGTATGAAGCATTTATGCGGGCTAATCCTAGGAGGTGGTGTCGGGCATTTTTCAATCCTGAGTCGCGTTGCAATGCAGTCCAAAACAACTTGTCGGAGAGTTTTAATGGTTCGATCAGAAATGCCCGACTACGGCCAATAATTGATATGCTTGAGGAAATCCGCCGAAAAGCAATGCAACGTAACGCACGACGAGCATGTCAGGCTGAAAGGTGTAAAACTGAGTTCACACCAAGGTTTATGAGGAAGCTGGACACCATGCTGGCCCGAGCACGACATTGTCACATCATAAGAAGTGGACAGGGAAAATATGAGGTTTCTGAATTTGGTGTTAGCTACACGGTTGATTTGTCTGCAAATACATGTGCTTGCCGGAGATGGCAACTTATGGGAATACCTTGTCAACATGCCATTATTGTAATCAAAGTGACTCGAGACAAACTTTCAAGGTAAAATAACAAAGTACAGTTTCTCATAACTTCTTGAAATTTAATATACTACTTACTAACTTTTAAAGTTATTTGCAGGTACGTTTCTCATTACTTCCTGAAATCAACATGGCAGGCAACATACCAGAACAACATTAACCCTGTCAATGGTGAACCGTTATGGCAAAGATCCGACAAACCACCAATTTTAGTCCCTGATGATAGAAAGATGCCTGGTCGGCCAAGTAAACATAGCCGAAGAAAGGATCCTCATGAATCACCTACAAAAACCGGACACATGACTCGACATGGAAGGCTGTTTCGTTGTAGCCGATGCAAACAAACGGGGCACAACGCAAAGACTTGCAAGAATGAGCCCATTAACATGGTAAGGACATGAATGACATCTGTGGTACATTAATTTATTTACATGTTTTTGGGTTGCGATTGTCATCAATCATTGCTTTCTTCTTTACAGCAAGGACAATCAAGCACTGCAGCATCAAATAGTAGTAATGCAGCTTCCAAAAGAAAACAAGCATCAATTTCGGATAACAACACAATGTCCAATGCTCAGACTCATGCAAACTCAGCTCAAGGTATTTCATTTTTTGTTCTTTGCATTTTCATAATTTTGGGACGGTGGTTATATAATAAGCAATTTCCAATGATAGATACTTGTATACCCACTCAATCCAGTCAAACAATGCAATCTGGTCTTAACCTGACTACCAGACGACGTCGCCTTCTGGGAATGACTCAGAATCAGTTTAATATCCCACGGCCAAGTCGTAGTAATATGGGGTAAGTATGATGTTAAACTACCATTGTGGATGTCATTCGATAGTAGTATTCTGTTTTTAATCGTTGTTTTATCTGGTTTGCAGATCGAAAAATGACAAAGATGTTCAACGCGATGGACCTTCGGGGACATGCTGATCGGATTGGACAAATTTAGGATTATTGGATCATTTTCAGACTTTTTTAGACGTTATGTTGGAGACATGTAATGTTGGATCGTTTTCAGACATGTTATGTTGGTTCATGTTGAGACATTTGGAGACATATAATGTTGGATCATGTATGTTTGTTGGATTATGTATGTTTGTTGGATCAATTTGAGACATTTG